TGCCCACAGAGAACAAACAGTGCAACAAATCAGGGCAATCCAGTTAGCTGGAGAGCTCCTGGCAGCCTGAGCCAAGCCTGGAAGCCTCTGCACAGCTGATGCCAGCAGAGGCAAGCCTGAATCGGGCAGACAGATAAAACTGGGACAAACTTAAGAGTGAGAGCTATTCCTTGTCTATCTGAAATTCAAATGTAACCACGTATCCTGTATTTTTATTGGCTAAATCTGGTGCAGATGAAGGGGCCTGCCTAGGCCGGCTCCACTGGGGCCACCCAAGAGGCTACGATGTGTCTGTTTCTCTGTTAGAAGTCCCCTCTGGGATCACAGGCTTCCCCACTTCCTGCTCAAACAGAAGCCACTGTCTGAGGCAACTCTTTCACCCTCCCCAGAAGCTCAAGGACCCCAAAGGCAAAGGCAACAGAGAGGACAGATAGTGTGCCAGTGCAGTGCTGGGTTTCTGCCCATCCCTCAACCTTTTAAGATTTGACCTTTACTATTGTTAACAGTGAATCAAACGACCACCCCCTTCTTCTCAACGTTTCCCTGCAGACTGTGCAGCTCCACAAGTTTCCTTCTTTGAAGGATCAGCCCTGGTCTCTCTGACCCCCAGGAGACACTCCCCTCTACCTTCTTTCAGGCTGAATGCCTATTAGAGGCCCCTGAGTCTGAATCTAGGCACGTGTAGCTGGGACAGAGGATGTGGGCAGGGGGCTGGTACAGAAGACAGAAGCAAAGAACCTGCTTGTTCAAATCTTTGCTAAACTAGGTGGGCTAGATTCCCCAGAGAGGGCACATGGAAGCTATTTCAAAAATCAGTTAGGACAAAAAAATTTTCCTTTCCTGGGTGAGCAACTTAGAACCAACAGTATTTCCACTTAGGTGGTTCTGGCCAAAAAAAGAAAGAAAGATCCCACTGAGACTTCTGAATGGATGGGGACTTGATTACCATGGCCATTCCCAGCTCCCAAGCACAGCCTGGCATGTGCAGGACTGTACAGCTGAAAGGAACTAAGGCAGACACATCAATAAACAGCGCCTGTTTGGCCAGATCTACTATAGCCAGTCACAAGGCAAGAAGTACAGGTCATTTGAAATTAATGTTCAAAACATTTTAGGTAGTGGTTTTAAGTTTTTTTCCACCAACCTTTTCAGTTAGAAACAAGCGCTAAGAAGACAGATTCAGTTCCCTCCTGTCCCTGTCCTGTGAGGCATACCAGTATACTATGAAGCGGTCAGAAGATGGGCTGGAGGCAGATGATGTCTCAATTCCACCTAGAAGAACAAAGAATGGGGGACATCTGGGACCTCAATACAGCCTCATTGCCTCATTTCCCTCCAGGGAGCTACATTATTTCTGTTTAACGAGTCACTGACTTCCTCCTGATATTCCTGAAAGGCAGGCACAAAAGTTTTGTTGTTTTTTTTTTTTTAACTGATACGAAACAGGCATCTTGAATGATACCATAAAGTGTGCATTTCCATTAGGAATTTTATAACATTTTTCCCAGTTTGCTGGACAGAAGGCTCAGTCTCCATGACTGACTGAGGCTAAGTGAGAGTCCAGTCAGGCTGGGGCATGCCAGCACTTTGGCAAGCCTGGGACAACGCCCCAGTCTGGGGTTTTATGCAGTATTCCGCATGCTCAATCACCTCCTGAGTGGTGTGATGTGAACTACCAAATGAGCTGGACAAACACTGTGATGCCTAATGGAGACACATGGACTGTGGAGACCCATGTAAAGCAGTAGGGCACTGGCACATCTGCATGTAATGGCTTAATTGAATATTAAAGCTTTGGCCCCATGAGTTCACTCAAACAGAGCAGGCAGGGGTGAGAATCCAAAGAGGAAATAGTCCACAATTTTTTTCCCTCTATATCAGCAACTGTGGGATTCTACGGGAAAGTCTATAGTAAGTACTGTGCTTAAAGTAACCTAAACCCTAGACTTTAAGTCATTCATCAAAATAACAACAGGAGAGATGAAACCAAATGATTCACTCTGAGAGCACATTACTCCCACGCCAGTTTTCCCCCAGAAGTCAAGGGGCCAGCGCTGTTAAAAAAAAAAAAAAAAATCCAAGGAACAGAATCTTTGTAATTAAATCTTGAGGCCTCTGAAAAGGCCCTAGACCAAGTGAGTACCTCCCTTTGAGTGTCTCAGTGAGCTTATTATAAGCCATTTGGAGGCAGGCACTGACCCCATCAAGCTCCAAGTGGCCTTGATTTTGTTAGAAAGATTGGAATCTTATCTGGGGAAGACGACAGACTCCCAGGGCCACTTTCTCTGTTTCTCTAGATAAATGGTGAAATCACGGACCAGTATCAAGGGAGAGGATTTAGTTCCCTGACCGAGGGAGCTGGGGATGACTTTTAACCTAATAACCTGTCACAGGATCATGAATTCTGAGCATAAGCTGTAACCATGGGTACACGGTAACCTGTTGATACTGTGGCCTTGCAAACTCAGCCTCGTGTCTCCTGCATCTCTGCACCCAGCTATATTTTACCACAGAATCAGTCAATAGGACAAGCACTGGGGTTTGCTACAGAAGCCTGGCCCTCCTGGAATAAACAGAGTTATCTTATTTCTCCTATAAGTGTCTCTCGCTAGGCAGGCCCTCAAATGCAAATCAGGGACTGGGTTCCTCTGAATTCCACACAGCTTCCCTATCAGGGCAGTTTTCCCTCCCTTCTGTCCAAAGATGGAGGACCTCACCCCTCTCTGCAGGGCTCCTGTGCAGCTCTCCTGTTTGGAGCCGGCAGAACCGCATGACACAAAGAAAGGCAAACCCACAATTAATTCTCATGATGAAAATGATGAACAAGAGAAGAACCAGGGCGTAAATACAAATTTAAACACCTTGCGCCTTCTGTCCTCGATGGCAATGTTACATTTCTATCTACAAGATATAGCATTTAAAAAAAAAAAATCAGAACTCTTAAGTCACATTTATGAAAAGTCCTCAGAGAACTCTTTTAAGGCACTGTTAAAACAAATTGTTTGCTTTGTTTAAAATATAAATCAATGCCTAGAAAGAGGGCACAACTTGCTAAATCAAGTCTCCTGCAGCGCCTATCTTCTGAGACTTTCTCAGTAAAGCTCAACTGAAGGTGAATAGATGCCAGTCGAGGAGACAGACCCTCAGGCTACGTCCCTGATAGATATAATGGGATCTGACTGACCAGCAGATGGCCCCATTATCTACAGACGAGCCCTTTACTACAAGCAAAGGCAACAATTCGTATTTACAAGATTATGAGGGTAACCGTGCCCTGTGAGGAGAGTTTTCTCTCTAGAAGCAAAAGGTAACCTGGGAGACTCTGGGGACCTTAACACTCTCCCCCTGGGAGAGCTGCTGCAGGAGCAGTCCATAAAACCAGCAGGGCCGACTGTACCCGATCCTGTAGCCCCGGCTGGCACATTCAGGAACACTCATCCTCCTGTCCTCTCCAGCTAAGCCCAAGGCCTCAGAAGAAACAGGGCCACCGATGGGGAACAACCTTGCTCAGGGACCACATACTGATGGTACTGATGCCCGGTGGAATGAGACCCATGAGCTGACCTGGTCAACTGGCTTAATGAATGGAGACAGGGAGAGGAGGCTGTCCGAGGAGAGGAACCAACTAGTGGAGAAGAGAGAAGAGGTGCCAAGCAGCCGCCTCGCCGTGGAGCAGCCACAGAGGGAGAAACGGCCAGGTCTGCGCTGCCTTGAGCTCCAGCTGAGACCCCAACAATGTTCACTGATTAGACTGTGGGTGTCCAGGACTATGTTTTCATCTCCAGGGGGATTTCAGCAGAACAGCAAACATTAATCCTGGCATCAGGGCAGATAATTTGGAGGATGGTCTTGGAGAAACACCAACAACCTTAGATATGCAGATGATAGCACTCTAATGGAAGAAAACAAAGAGGAACTAAAGAGCCTCTTGATGAAGGTGAAAGAGGAGAGTGAAAATGATTAAAACTAAATATTAAAAAAAAACTAAGATCGTGGCATCCGGCCCCATTACTTCATGGCAAATAGAAGGGGAAAAGGTGGAAGCAGTGACAGATTTCCTCTTCTTGGGCTCTAAAGTCACTGCGGATGGTGACTACAGTCATAAATCAGAAGATGACTGCTTCTTGGCAGGAAAGCAATGACAAACCTAGACAGTGTGCTGAAAAGCAGAGACATTACTTTGCCAATAAAGGGCCGTATAGTCAAGGCTATGGTCTCCCCAGTGGTCACGCATGGCTGTGAGACCTGGACCATAAGGAAGGCAGAGAGCCAAAGAGCTGATGCCTTCAAACTGCGGTGCTGGAGAAGACTCCTCAGAGTCCCTTGGACAGCAAGGAGATCAAACCAGTCAACTTAAAGGAAATCAACCTTGAATACTCATTGACTGATGGTGAAGCTCCAGTATTTTGGTCATCTGATGTGAACAGCCAACCCATTGGAAAAGTCCCTGGTGCTGGGAAAGACTGAGGGCAGCAGCAGCAGAGGGTCAGATGAGAAGGCTGGATGGCATCACTGATGCCATGGACATGAACTTGGGCAAACTGTGGGATATGGTGAGGGAGGCCTGGTGTGCTACAGTCCATGGGGTCACAAAGAGCCAGACATGACTCAGTGGCTGACAAACAACAACAACTTGGGCCTCAAGGCACGCCCTGGGGAGGTAAGAGGGAGGAGGATGTGGAGTGCCTGGTGTTTCACACACAAATCTTAACTCACCCAAGGCTGAGGTTGGCTCTCACATGCAAATAAAAATGTGAAAAGCTAACTGTGACCCTGTTACAGGGAACATTATATCTAAATAAAAGCAACTCCCAAAGGCTTCATTTCCTCGCTCATTTTGGGTGAATTTTTAATCATATCAGGTCAACTTTAACCAACTCCTGGATGCCTATACACAAGTCTGTCATTTTCTGGCCCAAGGACTAGTGAAGACAATTCCTCCCACACAAATAAAAATTTCAACAAAATTCCAAAGGTGGGGGGGAACAGTGAAAATAAAAGAATGTGAAAAAAAATACAAATCAAAGAAATTTATTGGTGTTGACAAAAAATACATAATACAGAAAAATGAAACAAAACAAACACAACAGAAACAAAACCAGAAACCAGCCCCCACCCTGGAGGGCCCCGAGGTACTGACAGCAAGCAGCCCCGAGAGCCCCTCAGAACATCACACTTAATTCATGAGGACCTCCATCTGCACCAGCCTCGCGTTGGTATCCCCAGATGTCCTGTAGGGTATCATCCCAGCAAAGGTGATCAGGGCTCGGGCTTGGCTGCGGAGTTGCTGAGAGAAAGGGGAAGAAGAGAAGGAACCCAGTTAAGTTTTGGGTCAGGGCTCTGTCCTGGGAACCAGCACTCCATCCTTCCGTCTTCTCCCCTCGGTGGTGTCATGACAGACTCCCAATGGGTGGATGACCGTCTTGCTCTCCACTTTCACATTCCTCCAGGGTGGTGCAGAGATGGGCTGCTGGGCCCCCAGTTGCAAAGCCCGTTTACTTAGCAGAAGATGGATGGGTCTGCCAGGCAAGCCGCCCCATCTGAGCAGCCACTGACCTGGCTCTGTGCTTCAGACTGTCTGCTCCACTTTTCGGGAACCTCTCCCTCCCCTGACTGGTGAGGACCTGAATTTCTAGGACCCCCAGGAAGCACCTACACTGCCTAAGTGCAGCCCATTCCAGATCTTTCCTCTCCTGTGTCTTCCCCTTTCCTTCCTTTCACTCCTTTCATTTCTCTCTTCCTAATTGAAGTGAGTAGCCCTCTTTTCTCAGGCAACAGTATTTATGAAATTCCTGGATTGCTCCAGGAGGGAAAAAGATTTTAACTCAGGTGTTTCCAATATTAGAAACAATAACCTTCACTCTGATTTCCAAGTGATAAATCACTGAATAAAGAAAAATGAAATCTCAGAGAATAGCTTCAGGTTGCCCATACTGAGGTGTGCTGGATGCTTACAGAAGGAAGGAAACCAAAGCTGGGATAGAAAGGGTGGTGGGGGTGGGCGAGTGGTCTACACATTTTCTGGACTAGTAACGAGACTTTATAGGAAAAGTCAAGGGTCACTTACTAGGTCTCTTAAGGACCATTCAAAAAGAAAGCTGAGAGGCAGGTGCCTTTCCCCTGATATGTGAGGTAACCTGGCAAGTCTAAGGCAGAGGTTCTGACAATGGTGGACCTGTGGGAGTCATAGCTGAGAGAGCCCACAGACATCCTTGGAGGCAGAAGACAGACTTTCAAGGCCCTAGTTTCTTGATTGCCGAAAGCAGGTATGGCTATTACACACCATACTGAGAGCCTCATCAAACATTAAGTGGAAATGTTAAAGGAAAGGTAATTCTAAAATACCACCAGTTTTAATGTTTCAAAGGGTCAAACACGTTTCCCTTTTTGTCAAATCAACTGTACAGCACATGCTGTTTGGGTCCAAGGGTTCTATCTGCCTGGACTCTGTGTGACCCAGGTAATGCTGGAGGCCCCACAGGCAGTGGAAGGGGTACTGGCCCCAGTGTCAGACAGACCTGGCTTCCAGACACAGCAACTGTTAACCAAAAGTACAGTTTTCATGGAAGTGCTGAACTGAGACTCATAAGATGACTGCATATTTTAAAGTGGGCAAGAATTCTTATGGAATCAATATAAATTAGTATTTTGATTGATTTTTTTAAGACTGGATATTCACTGACTTGGCACATCATTATTTTTTAGCTTGAGAAGAGGAGCAACCCCATTAATGTTCAGTTTCTTCTGGAAGCCCTCAACATAAACTTTACCCAGATGCCAGGTAGTAAAAAACAAGCACTTTAGGTCATGAGCGGGGGTCTCATGAGGAGCAAAAGGCAAACCAGAAAGGTGGTTCTCAGCGATGGCTGTGGCCAACGCTGGGATCTTACAGAGTCACGGTCCTCGATGACTCGCTGAGGCCTGGATGCCGAGGATGGACTTGTCCCCTTGAGCCTCTTAAACTGTGTGAACAAGATGTTCATGGTGGCGAGAAGCACTTCTGAGAGGTTGTGCCTGATCTGCAGAAAGAGACACAATGAAGTAAGAAGAAAGCGCCCGGCCCTGGGATCAAAGACCAGCTGGGGGAGCGGGGACCCGTGCTCCGGGAAGACCGGGCCACGCCATATCCCCACAGTTGCCAGCTGGTGTACTACACAGCCACCAAGAAGGAGCGGATGGCACTGGATTGTCAAACGTCAAAGCAAAGCCCAGGCAACGCTGTTCAGAAGGTCAGATTGGTCATTCCTCTGCTTTTTTAAAAAATATTTATTTGGCTGCACTGGATCTTGGTTGCAGCACTTGAGGTCTTTTAGTTGCAGCATGAGCACTCTTAATTGCAGCATGTGGGATCTAGTTCCCCAGCCAGGGATAGAACTCTGGATCCCCTGCATTGGGAGCATGGAGTCTCAGCCACTGGACCACCAAAGAAGCCTCCTCTGCTCCCTTCTTTATGCAGGGAAGTGAGCAGAGAGCACGCCAACTACGTTTGGCTAGCAAAGGAATTAGCAAAAGTCCGCATCTGAACATCAGGAGGTAGGGATGCACACGCTGGCCCTTCAGTCCCCATCACTGCCCACCGTCTCAGACCCACCAGACTGTCTCCCTGGGACCTGCACAGCCTGAGCAGTCCGTGGGAGTGTCTATGAGGACAGGCCCTGGTACCCCATTTCAGTCTACAAAACAACGGATGATGTAACCAGGGGTCGGCAAGAAACAACAAAAGGAGGAATAGCTAGGGGCAGAATTTTAGTAGGTGTGAAGGGAAAGTTGGCAAGAGGCAAGACCTCTTAGCTATCTATACCATAGGAGGCAGCCACCCCACATGTGGAAGCTGGCCTTCTTTCTTCCTCTAGAACAGACACATGCTTCCATAAAAGGAATGTGCTCACTGAGTAATGCTTTTAAGTCGAAACACTATTAGGAACATCCGGGGACCAGGCAGCTGGTTCTAGAGAAGAGTCTTACTCTAGCCACACACAGGAATAACCAGGGGAGTTCTGGGCTGCAGGCTTAGATCAGAGAAACCAGAATTTCTGGGCCTTGGCATGAGGATTTTTTTTAAAGGTCTCCTAGCAATTCCAGTGTGCAGCCGAGTTGAGCAGCCTTGGGCTAGGCAGTGGCAACATGCTAGAAACCCTGCAGAGAGAGGAGCTCTTGAGTTCTAAGGCTGATAACTGAGACCATGGTCACTGCACCTGCTTCTTGAGACAAAACTTCTCTGCTTCTTCAGAGAAGGGAAAGAAGGAAGTGAATCACAATGCATGTTTCATGCACCCGAAGGAATTACTTAATATGAGAGTTAAGCACTGATACCCCCTCTAGAACAAGTAGATAATAAACAATTAAGCCAGATTTCACAGAATCAGTAATAAACCCGTTTCTCCCAAGAATATGTCTGATTACTAGAGTGAGTGTATTTTCCGAGTCAGGAATTCAGACAATAATCTGATGGGTATACGTGTACTCACAGGAAAACCAGCCCAGGATTCCTGAAACTGGACTCGTCTTAGAAAATTCAGTCTGGATGGTGACTGTACTAGACTCTTAAGAATTACTGGTTACATTAAAACAAAAGCTTTCAGTAGAAGTGGGGAAAAAAGAATTTTGTAATTCAGGAATAGAAGGACTCACCTCATCACTGAAATTTCTGAAGGCAGCCACTCTCTCTTCCACACTTTCCTGATTCAGGGGCACCAGCTTCAAGCGATCAATTATCTGTTTAAAACAAAGGCCATCAGCCCCATATGATACAATCATCACAGTGATTCCATCTCTTCAAACACATGTCAGCATCTAACATGTTCATAGGTGGCTTCTTAGTAGGAAATTCTACTCCCCTTGTTCAAAGGCTTTGATTCCAACTTGCTGACTGACTCAATTCCTATCCTTGTTTTCCAAGGCAGTTTTTACAATTCAAAGACTTCAAATTATTTTGAGAAATCCCTGTTTTTAGATTAAAGAAGAAAGGAAAGGAAAAAAGGGGAAAAAAAGAACAACACAGAAATCCCTTTTAAAATTGCCAGGATCTTACTTGTCCTTCTTCACTTAACAGGCATACTGGTGACATTTCCTTTGTTTTAAATGAATTCCGCAAAATGTTTTGATTTTTCAAGGGCATAAATTAACCAGTACTTCAAACACCCCTCCTGAAACTTACATCAAAGGCTCTGTCAATATGCCCACTGTGATACTCGTCAAAAAAGGTGATCAAGTCCAACAGAAGATAGAATGTGGAGTCCACAAATTTATTTGCACTGATTCCCTGGGCCCTATACCTGAAGGACAAAAAAAGAGGGAAGGGAGGCAGGGGTGTATTAGGAATTTCTGTGCAATCTGGAACTCGAGGACAACATCTAAAAAATGTTAAAACCTCCTAGGGTCTCTAGAGGAGGTGAACTAAGGAGTGGAAAACAGTGTCTCTTTTGTAATGGCCAAGCATTTGATGGTGGATTTGACAGAGATCCACCTATAAATGTTCTGTATGAAGCCCAGTTCTCCAGCTTTGGATGCCATCTCAGCAAGCACCCTGACCCAGTTCTCAGGTGGATCTGGAGAGGGCACAAAAAGTAATGACTGCTCCCCAGCCAGGGCGTCACAATGGTTGGAGTACAACTCCACTCACTCATGGGGAGGAGGGGAGATTCTGAAACACTGGCCACCACACCTTGAAGAACCCCCCATCTACCCATCCATCCTCACTAGCTCTGTTACCAAATCCCTTTGAGATGGCTGCTAATGGCGCAGAGATGAGTATAATGCCTAGAATTAAACTGCAGGATTAGAATGCTGAGATATTCTTACATCCCCTTCTTTTTGAAAAAAATGTTTACCAAGTGACAGCTGGTTATGATGGGAATAAAACTCTCAAAACTGTCAGCGCTGGTGGGATGGTGGAGCCCCTCTTGGGGACTGTGTGAAGTTACAGTGAAGCTAAAGACACACCTGGGTGGGTGCTGAGAGCCTGGGGCCCCGGGAGCTGCTTCGGCCTTACCGTTCTGCGATGGAGAGGGCCATGTTCTTCAGCCGCTCCTTGTTGGACTGCGGTGCGCTGATCTGGGGCACAACGGGGCTAAGCAGTTTGTTCATCAGCTCCAGCACCTTGTCAGCGTTCTGTCCAGTTTTTTAAAATTAAAGAAGGAATTCATTAAAAATAATCAATAAGAAGAAAAAAGCTAAATCACCAACACAAAAGAGTGAACTTTTTGTTCTGGATCTTGACCTGGGTGGTGATGACACAGACATATACCTGTGGAAAATCCATCAAGCTATTATGTATGCTGAGTATCTACACCTTTTTCTATTTTCTCATAAGATCTCAGTTTCAAAGAGGGCTGTCCTGATGGCTCAGCGGTAAAGAATCTGCCTGCAATGCAAGAGACCTGGGTTCGATCTCTGGGTGGGAAAGATCCCCTGGAGAAGGAAATGGCAAGCCAGTCCAGTATTCTGGCCTAGAGAACTTCATGGACAGAGGAGCCTGGTGGGCTACAGTCCATGGGGTCACAAAGAGTCAGAATGATTGAGCAACTAACACTTTACTTTCAGTCTCAAAATATTTTTAAATTAAAAAAATGGAATTATAATCCTTTTTTTGCCCACTTCTCTCAGGTGATAAAAGGAGAGAATGCAGTCTTCTCCAGGCTATGCAGTTACTAGTATCCCCCAAATGTTCTAATGCAGAACTAACTTCAGGGCTCTCAGCACACCTTGGCTGTGGTTTTGTTCCCAAACATCCATCCATCCCCAGTGGGTCTGCGGCTGCTTGGAGGGTGAGCACCAGACAATTTCACAAGCAGCTTCACCGTCCAAGCATGATGGAGGTTTACTCTGCTGCCAAGTGAGACTACAGCTCAATGCCCGCAGGACAGCCTCTCAATACATCATGCTCTCGTCTGGCCAGAAGCACCTTATGGGCAGAAATAATTCTGTAAAATGGGAATTTCACCCTGACTGGATCATTAACTGCCTAAGCATTAGGAGACAAAGCCTCAGCAGACAGAGGGGTACAATAACAGCACCGCTGAAATGGTTGTACTTTTAACGCAGCAAGGCTGACAGATCTATTAGGTGCAGAGGCAAGAAAAGGACACATTTACCTTGGCAAGGTCGTAAAGCTTTGCTGCTTCTTCAAATAGTCCTTTATTTTCTGCCACGGAAGCAACTTTGTTGATAATAGGCTTTGTGTCACTGGTAAACTTATCTATGACTCCAGGCTGACAAGACAAATTATGGAAGGGAGGAAGAGAGAAACAGGGGGACAAAGCTGTCATTTTAAACACAGAGAAGCAATCAGGGATCTGAAAACTAACTGAAAATGCTTGCTCTGGGCAATGCATATATTTTCATCAGGCAGACTCTGGCTTTCCTGAAGATATAAGGGCCTATTAAACATATGAAAAGGACCAAGATGAGTACCCATGAAGAGGCAGATTCACAGGCAGCCCAGAGGAGTCAGCAGCAAGACTCCATGCTTTCTCATTTTCCAAAATGATCTAGCGAGTATGTGAAATCATCAATGATTTTAATTTTGCAGATGACCTTAGTGGGGGCAAAAAAATCAGGAGGCTCAGAGAAAATATCTGAAAGATTTTGGATCTGCTTTATAAGACAGACAGCAAAAGAAACCCAGTCCTGAAAAAAATACACAGCAAGTGGTGCCAGGATACTAAAAACAACAACAAAAAAATCTGCATCATCACTCAACAGCAACCAAATGGTCAAGAGAGTATGAGACAGGCCTTAGGTAACACACAGAGAGAGGACAGACTCTGCGACATCTGACTGGCTGCCTGATTCTTCACCAGCCTTGGACCAAGTCAGGCAACCAACCTTCTCTGCCACTCTGGCAGCACAGGAGGTGAGTGAAGAGCATGGGCTCTGTGATCAAGAAGGACTGGGTTCCAATTCCAGCTCACTTTCTTACTAGTTGTGTGACCTTGAAGACAAAAATTAACCTCTCTCGTCTCCACTTCCTCCCTTGAAAAACAGGTAACCGTTCTGACTCTGTTGGGTTCTTGTGACCATTAGGTGAGAACACATGCATCGAGCATTCAGCACAGGACCTGGCAGTTGTCACTGCTCCATAAGCATGGCCATCATCACATCGTCACCAGCACTGCCACTGGTCTTCCTGAGCTAGATGGTGTAAGCAAGTGTGAGCTCATTTCAAGATTTCCGGGTCTAAACCACCCATTTTTGTAAGCAGGGAAAGTGAGTCCCTGAGAGAGGCACAAGGAGCCCTGAGTGGGGTCAGGAGGAGCTTCCACGCCAGGGCCTCTGCCCCATCCACACGGCCCCGAATGGGGTCAGGAGGGACACGGCCCAGTAGCCATGATGGGTCTCAGGCAATCACTGAGGCTCATGGGAGCAGCTGCATCTCTGGGGTCAGTGCAGAGTTCTGAGCCCTTGAAAACTACCTTTGGAGAGAGGTCAAGTGCATCTCTAATTTCCCATCTGGGGAGAGTAGGCGTAGTAATGAATTTCTTTCTTGCATATTTTCTGAGCCAAGAACGGCAGAAATGTAGCCTTCTCAGATGAAAAAATGGCAGGTGTAAACAGATGAGTATTCTGAACATAATTTAAAAAGTTATCTCACCACAGATTTACATATTTCAAGGAGAAATGTAAATGTGTCTAACATCAAGGTCATCACTTGGGACCTGTAATTTTCATTTTTTGTTTTTTAAGCAACTTCATTCAGATCTGCATCTTTAGTACCTTGCATCCTAAAACCTAACTGTATTTTTTTTGACAACTGTAAATCCCCACCTGCAAACTAACACATCTCCAGGGGTGTCTTTAACCCACCTTTCTGCTTCCATCATTCTCCAGTTTCCCAAGAATCATATCGAACTGCAGAGACAAAAAATGTTTACCCAGTTTACTGGAAGAGGATATACACATAATCCACAATTCCTTGCAGATGAGAGAGGGCTAGGGGAGGTGGAGGAAGTCTCGAGGACACTGAGATTGAACCAACATTTTTAGAAACCAAAGAATACTCTAAAGCTCCCCGCCTCCCCACAACCCACACTGAGGTGATCAGCATGAGAACCTGTATACTGGAAAGGTTAGGAGATATACCTCTCGACTTTCTATCACCAGCTCGCTCACACAGCGCAGAAACATGTTTTCTCCTTGACTATCCTTCTCATCCCTAGGAGGAGACAAAAACACACTGGTTTCTGAAGGTGCGACTTTAAGGCCCCTAATCATCATTCTCATAATGGCAGAAACCAAAATCAGCTAAAGTAAACGGTCAAAAGCCAGTCTCACCTGAGGAAGTAAAAGTACTGGAGGGCCTCTCTCGGGTCCGTGGACTCAAACTTTCGGGTGTAGAGCATGAGCAGCCGCACAAAGTTCAGCCTCCGCATGCAGGGAGGGTCACCAGGCTCATGGCTAACTGCATGGGGAAGCGGGAACAGAACTGGTCACAACCACACAACCAGGAGCTACGGGAACCAAGCCCAAAGATCCAGTGGCACCTACTCCTGCAGCCCAGCCAACATCTGGCAGTGTGAGCTCAGCCTAGGCCCTTCACCACCGCCCTCAAGTTCGGCCCAAGCACAGAGCGGAAAAAATGGCATTCTGTAGTGAATCACTAGTATGTTGGTCTCTGAATGGAAAGGGGGCAACAACCGACCATTACAGCATGTGCTCCGGGAGGGGCAGGGGATCGGCTGTGCTACTCAGGAAACTGCAGCCACTCGGGCACATGTCTTCTCTCCCTCCTGACTGCCACCCCATGCCGGCAGGCATACCTGATGGCTGGTTGGGCCTTCCAGTGTCTCCAATTAGAGCCCCAATGGGAACCAGTCTCACTAGGTTTGTATATTGAACTCCCCAGGGAATCTGAATGGAGGATAGAGAGGCAAGACCCCCTCACACTGATCATCCCAGAAGCCCAACTGTCTACAACACTCCAAAAACGATTGGCTCTGTCTGCCTGGATCCTTGTTGGTCCCAGTTCTGTGTCCACTGCTACCCAATGGGGAATGTGTTATGTTGTGGGGGTGTGAGGGCCAACAAATACTCACGGAGCTGAGCACTCTGTCCTGAGGATTTTAAAAGCAGCTTCAGCTCAAAGAGCACCAGCGCCACGTGGACGGCATGGCAGCGCAGCCGCTCCATGCGGAAGAGAAAGGCAATGGCGGCTTCAAACTGCGCCGTCAGGAACAGCACTTGGAAGTAGAGGAAGGGCTGCTGGTTCACCGTGAAGTGGGACTCGCCTGAGGGAGAGGAGGGATAGCTGACTCAGAAGAAGTGAGTCCAAAGGAGCAGCCGACCGGCAGCTCCGAGTGCTTAAAGGGCGGGATGAAAGCACCAGCCTGAGCAGGAATGGACTTGGGGGCTCTGGACACAGTGGACGCCAGCCACTCCAGCTTCGCCCTGCTTCCACAGCCTCCTGACCTCCCAACACAACTGGAGCCTGGGGGGCCCATGTTGTAAAACCTGGACTTCTTGCATTAGGTGGGAGAGAAACAGAGAGTAGGACCTTAGAACAGAATGCAAAAGGGTCTGTTTATCTCCTGTGTCCTGATGAATCACTCAGTAAGGAGAGGAATGATTCCCAAGCTGCAGTTCCCTCAGATTCACGGCATTTAACATTGCTGACCACCAGTGGGAACTTCTTTTCTTCCCAGAGTTTTTAAACAGTGAGAGAAAGAAAAAAAGAAAAACTATTTCTCTCTGTATCCAGATGTAGTCATTTTGAGATCTCTGAGGGAGCAGCAGCCAAGTCCTCTTATGTCCCTCTCTGAGCCAGTGTCTACCAGAGCTGTTCAAAGAACTGTCAGTGACTATGTAAGCCACATCCACTACTCAAGGCCATGGGTGCGGCCGCTACTCGAATCTGAAATAATTGCTTTGTTGTGCTGTGTTCTGAAGGTTCACGGGGTTTTGAAGGAGAGACAGAGTTGAAGGATTTTCCCAGAAAGAAGCTAACCAGTGACCTTAGGTGGAAGAGAGAGAGAGAAGGCATTTATGCTCAGGGGATCTTACCATAGTCTTCCAACAGCTGTTTCTGGAACTGAGAGAGAGTGAGCCTGTCCTGTGGGGAGCTGGTGCCATCATCATCGAAACACACCTGGTTCAACTAAACCCCCAAGAGAAACACAGGCATTGGTACCAATTACCTTCTGGGCCAGGAGTGAACTTAGAGCTGTTTGAGCTCAAGGCTCAAGGCTGTGCTAATGGCCGTGTTACTGGCTGGGAATGCCGCACAGTGCAAGCTGGGCCAGGAGGCAGAAACACCACCGGTGCAGCCACCTTCCTGGCATCCTACACTAAGCAGTGCAACCTGCGCGCAGCGTGAGCAGGGAGAGGGGCAGATGCCCTGCTGGGCAAGGGGCGCACGCCTGCCTTCAGCCACAGGTAGTCCTCAGTTTTGTCGGCCACCTCGCTCTGGTTGTCCGTGACGTCGCATCTGCCAATGATACAGTACACGGCCCGTTTGTAGGGGTCCGTGTTGTTTCTGAGGGCCCTGCGGTAATGCAGTCGGAGCTTGTTTTCCGTAGCTGGGGACAATCTGAAGAGACAAGGGAACAGACACAGGCTGAAGATCCTCAAGGGCACCTGAAAGCACCCAGGGTCCAACCACACGACAAAGTTATGAAGCTTCCCTCCATGGAGGGGAACAGACACTGTCCCACCCACATCCCCGGGGACCATCACTTTAACCTGATTTGCAGCTCCCAGGACCTGTGTCTCTGCCTGCTGGCTTCCTCCAGTAGTGGCCTTCAGGGTAGAAAGTCTGGGGAACTGACCCCCCAGCCCCCCACCCCTAGTAGCCTCCAAACAGTGATGAACGAGACTGAGTCAGTCCTTTAACTGCCTCAGCCCCCTCTGGCCTCTCCACTCCCTTAACCCTGTGATATCACCTCCCAAATAAACTCCCTGCACTCAAATCCTTGCCTCAGGGTCCCCTTCTGGGGAACCTAGGACACGGTCCCTACTTTACAGTCTGATATGAGCAAGACAGGACTTATGGTTTAACACACTCTCTGGACATGGACACTGCCAAAAAAGTAACCCTGGTTTTCCACATGCATAACTGGGGTAACTACCACTATTTCCTCTACATACATTTAAACTAGGTTTGAATATGAATTTAAGTCCAACTACATTAACAAAAACCAAAGAAAAACTAATGCTTTGCAGTTCCTTAATGTAAGAGGAAAAGAACCAAAAAACAAAAAACAACTTAGTGAAGTAATTCAATGGTTATTCCTCAAGTTTGCTAATGTCTAATTCTGGCCTTTGAGCTATGAAGTGCATGACAACATATTTTCATCTGGATCAACGAGAAAAGCACTAAGAGTGAACAAGTGAAGTGCAATACAACAGTTTCATTTTATAAAGCATTTCTTATGTGCCTAGGACTTTGTAAGTCTAGACATTAGTGTCAGAGTGGGGCTCTTGTGTTCTTCGTGCTTTCCAAAGTTCATTTTCTTCCCAAGCAGAAACTTATTTCTTATAAGCCATGCACAAGGAAAAGAGAGCAACGCCACGCTGTTGATCCCCACGTGGCTTCTTCTGGACTCGGCACCTCATTCACCGTACCTCCTGTCCTTGCTGTTCATGTACTCCTGGAACCAAGTTTTGAACTCTCCCAGCTGGTGCTGGGCTCGGTTCACCACCTGTGAAGCAGCAAGCAGGTCTCCACAGCGCATGCAGTAATAAATTAACGCCCACACAGGATGGCCTTCCACCTCTCCATCCTAAAAAAGGAAAGGTGCTCAAGTAGACAGGCAAACAAAAGCTAACTGATGGCTTTCAATGTGCTGGTCCCCAGCTAAGCCTCTTCTTGTATTAAGTCACTTGATCTCGCAACTCCACTAGACAGGGACCCCGAATGGCTTCCTCCTCTGTTTTACAAACCAGGAAACTGAGGCATGGGGTTGTTAAATATTTTTCCATGGCAAGCTGGTAAGCGCCAGTCTAGCCCAGAGCCTTTCCTCTACAGCACCATGTGTCCCACATGACTCAAAGCCAGCTGGTGTGTTCTCCATGGACCCCAGCATTCACAGCGAAGGGGTGACATGTTCTTCTGTGATGATTTACAGATATGCACTCTTGCCACCCCAACAAGTAAGGGCTAAAAACATTCACTTACCAATAAGAGACTATCATCATATTAAGAGTTTCACTGTGCTTGGCACTGGGGATCTAGGAAAGCAGATCTGATCCTACCCTCTGGGCAACAGAGCATGTCTCCTAAAAGTGGCTGTGTCCTCAGACTGTGCAGCAGCCCTGTGGTTACTCCTCCCTCTGCTCCTCCCAGACTCCTCCAGAAATGTGGACTGCAGACTTTCCTTCTTGGCCCCTCCACCCTCCCCTCAGCAGGACTCCTTCTAAAACTCGGACCTGATTGTGTCACTTCCCCACTTAAACCCCTATGAGCTGTTTGCATCTTAAGTGCGTAGCCTGGTGCTCCCCAAGCTGGCCCCACCCTGACACACACCCAATAGGCCAAGTGCTCTATCCTGCCTGGCTGTGTTTGTTCTCACTGTTCCCTCCTCCTCGAAAACCCTATCCGAGAACGCTGGCTGGCGAGCTCCTACTCTTCAAGCACTTGTGTGGGACTCACTTCCTGCAGGAAGCCAGCCTCCTGTGTATTCCACCACCCTCGGTACAAAGATCTGGTTCAACACTCTGCACACAGCATGTCTCTGACTGTTAACTGGACTGTGAGCTGAGAAGAAAGACACTTTCTAGGAACCACATCTAACTCTGTTCTGCCAGCTATTTGAGCCAACAATCTCAGAAGTCATCCCTGACTCTGTGGCTCACACCATAGCCAAATTCTTCCAGTCCTAATGGGTCTACCTTCATGACATGTCCAGAAATCAATGACATCATCCCCCTGCACCCTCCTCCTCCACCACCATCAGCCCCTGGACTCCTGAGCCACCAGCCTTCCCAGGTCTCTTCTTCATAAAGCAGTTTCCACACATAACCTCATTTCAGCTGAAAATGCCTACCTGAGAGACTGATCTGGAGGAGTTACTTATCACATAAAGGTGCTACTACCTGAAGTCCAGGCAAGGGAGCTGGAAGTTTAATGTTCAGGAAACTTCGAACCAACTGGTAAGTCCCTGGCACTCCGCCCAGCTGGGCCTGATGCAAGTTTCCAAAGACAGTCACAAGGGTGTAATTCTTATAACTGGAAAAAATTTGAAGGCACAAAAAAGAGAGAGGGGTTTGAAAACACATATTACACGTATCTGTGTCCATACCCACAACATTAGACCGTGAACTCCACACGGCAGGGCCTGGACTTCAACTGAACACAGAAGAGGAAACAGAAGTGCATACTTAATGAAGCAAGCTACATTATTGATTCGGTGGGTGGTGGATCTCCGTGAAGATTTCTTATTACTGTGGATACTCAAAAGAACCCCTGGAACCACGTAATTGTGTATTTCAAATGCAGAAAGGGCTGCTGTGCAGAAAAATAAGTGCTCTGCCTCACAGCCTAATGCTCTAGTGGGATCTTCTGAAACTTTTTATTTTGAAAAATTTTAAACCTACAAAAAATTAAAGAATAGTCTGACGAGTGCTCATACGCCCTTTACTTATATTCATCAATTGTTAATATTTACATGCATGCTCTTCTCTCTCTCTCATACATACATTTTATCTGAACCATTTGAAAGTGTTATACAGAAATCAGGGGCCACCTCATCTGTAAATATTTTACCATGTACCTCCTAATTAGGACATTCTCCTACCTAACCTCAATATTATCATGATATCAAGAAATTTAACATTAATGTACTGTTATTGTCTAAAATATAACACATATTCACATTTCTTAATAATGTCATTTATAGTTTTTTTCTTTTTTTAATCCAGGAGCCAATCCAGGGAATGAATGAAATTTAGTTGTCATGCCACTTCTATTTCCCTTAATCTAGGATAATTCTACTACTTTTTTTTCATGACACTGACCTTTTGAGAAGAATCTAGGCTAGCTACCTGGTATAATGTCCCACAAGCTGAATAGTTTCAGATGACTTGGTCCAGGTTCAGTTTTTTTGCTGATGCTGCTACTGCCACAATGAGGCAGATAATACCATTTTGCCCCATTCTTGGTAACATTTAATTTGATCACTTGGTTAAAGATGTGGTCTACCAGATTTCACTGCTGAAGCACCTCCTTTCCCCCTCTGAAATTAGTAAGTACTCTGTGGGGTACCACTTGGAGGTCATGTGAATATTCTGTTCACCAATAATCTTTCATCCCATAGTTTCCACTGATGGTCTTTGCTGAATGCACTGTCACACTGGTGGCTGCAAATGATTTTCTATCATTCCCTGTTTATTTTCTAGCATGCTTCTTTAAATCCTTTACAGCATTTTTAATTGTTTCGTATTAAGTGGTTTGAGTTACAGATACTCAAAAATGGGGTCAGTATAGTGAAAAGCGTTCAGGTTCTTTCATACGCACTAAAATGTTCAACATCGGATTAAGTAAAAGAGCAGATGAGAGACAGACACACACATACACACCTCTCAGAGGAAAACACCTAAACGTCAGTTACAGAAGACAGACTCATCAGAAAATGACGTAGTTTCAAAAAAATGATACTGACAAAAAATTTTACAAGAAAACTATATATACAACCATATATTGTACACACTGGGATCATGAGCTGTGTAAAAGATAAATATCAAACAAAATATTCACATATCCCAAAAAGGCGGTGGGGGGTGGGTGTAGAGGTGGCAGTAAGGAAATACAACAAGGCACCAGGAGCCCCTGCATGCTCCTTTTTTCAGGTCCTCTTTCTGGCACATTTCAAAATTTCTATAATAATCATGTAGTATTTTTATGATGAAAAATAAACACAATTTAACAAATACGAGTTCTCTATCACTAGAAGTATTTAAAAGCAGATGTTGGAAGCGATTAGAGAAGAGCCCCTGAGCAACCGGGACAAACAACTCTTCCAACCTGAATGAAGACAACCTATGTGCTGGAAAGGGCCTCAGTTGAGGAAACAGCCTCAATTCCTTGAGAGCTAAGAAATGCTATCTTGCTTCAAATTTGAAATACTCAAACAATAATTTGGGACCAGACCTGCTTTGCCATCTGGTGTATTACATCACTTGAAATACTGTATGTTGGGACTTCCCTGGTGGTCCAGTGGTTAAGACTTTGCCTTCTAATGCAGTGGGTGCAGGATCAATCCCTGCTTGGGAAGCTAAGACCCCACATGCTTCAAGGCCAAAAAACCAAAACATAAAATAGAGGCAATGCTGTAACAAATTCAATAAAGACATTTAAAATGGTCCACATCAAAAAAACTTAAAAAAAAGAAAAAATAAATACTGTATGTTATACTCTCAGTGGATTAGGACCAGCAAAAATATTTTTTAAAGTGAGTATAGTTATCTGAAATATTCCCTTTATCAAAAGGGACAGCAAATACTTAAAAAGATGCCGAGAGAGATGCTGTTAGATTAAACAAGAAAATAAGCATACAATAGTTGAGCACAGGAAACTCCCAAATAGCTCCAAGTGCTGCTAAAGGAATTAATGGAACAAGACCATTCTAAAAAACCTAAATGAAAAGAATAATAAAAGAAATGGGACGGCTTACATATAAAAAACCCCAAACTGCAACCTGGTACCTCTGATGAAGTCAAGCACCAACACTCAGGATTAGCTTTACTGAAGAAAAAGCAGTCATATACTTATATCCATTAAAAAAAAAAACACCCTAATATTTTTTATACACTGTGAGAAATTTTTTGACTCATATTTTGCTAACTTGTAGCAAATAAACACCACAATATATATTAGGTTTTTCATGGCTGAAGACTTACAAAACTTACATTATAAAAATTGAGTGAAAGCCTGACACAATACTTTATGAACTCTTTGCACCTGTGCCAGAAGAAATGAAAGACCATTTGGAGTTTCAGATTTTTCTTAACAAAAGAATGGAGGCTAGTGAGTTTAATACATCTGATGGCGTTATCTTGTGTAGCTATTCATAATTAATTTAGTGTTGGGTATAAAACTTGTTCTCTCTCCGCCGTACCAAGTCTTGAATTACCTTGACTTCCTAATGATAAGGGTTACTTTGTTGACAGAGGGTGACCATACAACAAGGCCATTGGCAGCTGCATGGGTGCAGAGGCAAAGAGCTGCAATTGAGCAAGTGTATTTAGCTTGGCTTTCTCTTCTCCAGCCAACAGAGAGAGGCCCAGCACCCTGTCTCTGAGATAAAGAGGGTCTGCTGCACACTCATGACAACACCTGCTGGTCACTTCAGAGCTAGGAGTGTCCACAGGGCGTGGATGAGTGGCACGGGCCCTACCGACTAGGGGACAACAGTCAAGGCACAAGGGCACAGTCGCAACCCCCTCCGTGACCAGCTCCAATTAGCGAGGAGGTGGCAAAAACCCAGGCACAAATCAGAGGCACTAGCAACTGGGAAGGATCGGAACTCACAGGATCAACCAAGCAAAGCCAGAAGGAAAACAAAGGCTCAAGGGGCCTCCCTAGGGTTTGGAGGTGGTAAAATGCTCGGTGGGAAAATTAAAATGTTGAGAGAAAACCAAGAGCCTGAGGAGTAATGGCTGAACCCTGCTGAGGGCCCAGGATCCTGACCCAAGGCATTGTGCCCTAATAACCGTGTCTCTGTACTAAGGGACGCAGGGTGGAGAAAGACAGAGAGAAAAGCCTAACAGGGCTCAGGGCTCCCACTCACGTGGTTTTACATCTGTGCAGAGACAGTTCCGGTAGAGAAGTGCTCCTAAAAACAGCGCAACACCTCTCAGACTTGCTCAACCTTGTTTAAATCACACCAGTTCCAGAGCACTTAGCTTGAGGACCACTTCAAACAGGGGAATGGCTGCCTTCAGGGGATTTTAAAGGCCGCCTCTGTGCTGCCGCCGCCTCACCTCTGCTCCAGGTACCCCAAGGCCTGCCTGACAAACTCCATGCGCACTTCCACGCTGTTGCGGCTCTTCAGGGCGTCAGTCGCTGGCACCAACAACACATCCGTCATTTGTTTCACCATGGCCCACATGTCGGAGGTGTTCTGCACAGAAACAACACTGCATGTTGCAATGCTGTGGGGCTGGGCAAGCAGCCTGGTTCTTCATGGTGCTTTGACGTGGAGGGGGCTGAGGTTAATGTCCTGTCTGCAGCCCTCAGGCTCAAGCCCAGCACAGAAGATGCGCCTCAGCCTGGCCAGTGGCCAGGCTCTCATCTTCCTGTGAGCAGCCCCCGTCCCGAGTTGGTTTTCAGATCAATTACTATTCCAGGTCTGACATAACCACCTACATAATTGAGACCACATAAAAGTAACAAGAACACTGAATCTCAGTGGGTTATCCCTTAAGAGAGAGTGAACACATTTATAATCGTGCAGAGCTCTAGGAGTTTAAACTCAAATAGTTACATGTCAGCCCTTATAAGGTCATTTGAGTTTTTTAAGACTTAAAATAAGAGTTTAACCTAAATAATACAGGTTTTGTCCTCCCGGAGCCTCTCCAGGGGTCCCTGCTCTTACCCAATTTTGTCAGCGGCATGGCCTCTCATTTTCCTGCCTACTCATTCCCCTCAAAAGGCACCCCCAGTGCAGCCTCCTAGAAGAGGCACAGTTGTGCTTGCCTGTGTGTAACCACCACACAGCTGACTCTCACGTCCCAGAACCCTCCTGGTTGTAAACTTCACCTTAAAAGTGTGTTCCCTGAACCCTTTGCAATGTTATAAAGTTAAGAATCTCTGGAAGACAGTAGTAATTGGAGAAAAAGCAGGTATACACTTTTTCCAAAGGAAAAGAGAAAATCCCGTTTTCACTGTCTCTTGCAAAAGTTAAAAAACTGTAGAAAATCCATCTAAATGGGATTCTTTCTAGGTGGTGAGACAGTGGATAAGTTCTTTCTTCTTTATGTTGGTTTTATAATCTTACACTTTATTATTGGGGGAAAAAAAAAGTTGGCTGCCCTGTGAAGGAAAAATGTGTTCAAGTGCTTGCTTCCATTACAGACTTCCTTCTCCTTTCCTGTTCTTCCTGGCCACCTACCAATCTATCCATTCCCCACCTGCCCCCCCCTTTTTTTTTAAATTTTTCCCTGCTGTGGGAGAAACTGGGCCAAGGATAAGAACTGAGGGGCAGGAATGAAGAGGGGGAGTCAGAGAGAAACAAAACCAGAGGCATATGAAAAATGCTTGTAAAGACCCCACCTGAGTCGAGTTCAAGGGGCTCATGGTATGAAAACCACATCCCCTTTACAATTCACATCTCATGAAAGAGCCCTGTCTGTCTTAGCAGGGAAACTGACAGGGTGGAGCTGGAACCTGACAGGACTTCAAAGCAAACACAGCTTGGCTGGGCCTTTTGAAGATGCATTAAAGATACATATATTTTTATATACATATAGCATCACCATAAAAAAAAAAAAAAAACCTCAAAGTTACTTAAAATAAAACTCTGAAGAACAGTTAACTTCATCTTCCAAGGCACAGAATTTCTCTTTAGCACACTTCTGCCAAATCAGCAAGCTGCTAATCCCATCACACACCCGACCCCCGCATGTCTCCCCGGGCCGGCTCTGGGCACTACCTTATCATCCAGCTCTGCGACGGATGCACAGAGGTCCAAGAGGTTAGGCTGCAGGTGTCCGTTTACGATCTTCTCGTTATAGATATAAATCTGAAAGGAAGAGCAGAGTAAATGGCACAAATGCCATTTTCACCTCTCCTTTTCAGAACCCCTTGAAGCAGTTTTGAAACCAACTTCTGCCCAGTGGTCAGAAGCTTCGGCCAACCTTTCCTTCCTCACAGTGGCTGAACTGTCCACACTGCCTGGAAGGCAAGGCCTCTGGCTAGCTGCTCAGTCCTGTGTCCGAGCTTCGGGCAGCGGCATGAACACACACCAGGGCTAACTGCTGCCCCAGCCTTCCTAACCTGGGGAGTGGGAGCAGGGTGGCCCTGGGGGAGCAGTGCCACGTGTGGTTCTGCGCCGCTCTGCCCAGCAGACCCTCGGCCCCGGAGAGCAAGGACCAAAGTGGGAGACGGGACAGTGGAAGGTCTCTAGCTGCTGTTTCCTAGGAGTCTGAGTGGAGTCTGGTCACACTTCTGACTAAAGGACTGAATGGCCCCAGCCCAGGACTGTGCGTCAGGCTGCAGCCCTCCACACGTGTCAGAAGAGCACTTCTGCCCACTTGCAGTACCCATTTCTCTTATCAAGAATCCCGGCTCCTTAGTAAAATTTCTCAAGGAAAAGGAACTATGTGATGTTCAAAGAATGGAAAGGCCAATATTACTCTGAACTTTGTTTTTAAAGAACCAACACAGTGATGGTGAAAATGAGTAAGTTCTACTCGTTGCATTCTGAAATCCTTGCTCTGCTGAGGACTGAACTAGGTAGTGATTTTAGACAAAACAGGAGCCTGTCAAACCTTACTGCCCTCTGCTCTCAATGGGGGAGAGCAGCATGTGGCCTCCAGGAGCATTATAAAGACAAGGTGGTGTTTATTCACTCAACGAGCATTTCTGAGGGGCCTTCCCTTGGGGACTGTGTTCAGCATGGGATATAAAGGTTCTCTCTCCACTGGAGGGGACTGCCACATAAACAGACATGACATTACGGTGTCCTGAGTGCTGGAAAACTGTAGTCTTATAAAGCTTTAGTCTTCACAGACACAGAAGATCCATGGTTTCTCTCCTCAGAAGCTTGTAATTTCATTAGGCCTGAATTCTGGAGATGTCTGTGACAATGGTAGTCAGTCATATAATCAAAGTGAAATTTAAAAAAATGTAGATGGAGTGTGGGAGATCTAATAAATATCAGTAAAACATGAGGGAGTTGAAAGAAGGTGGACTTGTGTCCCAACCTGACACAACTGGCACCGTGCTTTGAGGGGAAAATATGCTGGTGCCACTGTGGCCCTCAGCATTGCCCACTTCCTTCCTTCCACTGAGTCTGGCGTGGGGTGGGTGGAGGGCCACACTGGCACCAACATATTCTCCCCCCATAGCACTGTGGAAGTTGGTCACATTCGAACACATGTTCCTTGGTGACTTCTGGTGCAGGACGATTTAGAGAGTGGAAGCCCACCACCCGCAATTCAAGAAATAAGACTGTCTTCCTTCTTGATACTTTGTGCAGGAAAGCAGCAAATTAGAATAAAGTACACAAGGCTGGCACAGCTTTACTCAAAAAGTCAATTCCAGGTATGTACTGTCCTAAGGGCAGCTTCGTGTAGTTTTCACACCCTATGCTTTAACACAGAGTGTCTCAATCTATCTTTACACTATCACATGGTCATGATACACAACCAGAGCCACAACACCTCAAATACTGTGAGCTTCTCCAGGACAGAAATATCCAGTAATGGTGAGTACACTATGCTTACCCAGGCAGAAAAACATTTAGAAAATTTTTTTCTATAACAAGGCAGGGAGCAGGGTTTCTGATAATATCATTTGCCAACCAGGTGATCAGTTAATATAGAACTCCATTTGCTCAGCAGTGCAATTACTCAGAGCTTTACTGTACATGAACTGTTGCCAAATGCAAAATGAAATGCCTTGGTCAGTGTGTGAGGCAGATTTCAATTTCCCTAAATCAAACCTGAGTCATTCTATTACCCAATTTGACAGACTTCTCCAGGGACCTAGATGGTAAAATATTAACAAGTCCTCTGAATGAAAACCCAACTTGCTTTTAGGGTCTTTCACATGAAGTCTGTGTTCCTTTTAACTCTCTAGAGGGCTCACAGAAGATTTTCCTGGATTTGATCTTCCTTGAGAACATGCTTACCTGCCGGGCATAGGCCATTTCAATGCTGTCTAGAGAGCTTCGACCAGGGGGTCCTGCATCACTGATGTAACTTGGCTGTAGATAAATATATGTTCAGAACAGCATTCAGTCATGTAAAGGAAAAAAAAAAATCATAAACATTTGTCTTTAACAGAGCTGTGAGAAGTCTGTTTCCTAGTCAGACTTCGTGAAAACAATGATTTTGGGGGTTTCAATAGAAGGTGACTCCCTTATCATGAACACATAAGGGAGTAGGCATGGGACCCAGTGAACTCAACAACAGGAAGCTGACGAATATCTCAATTCATCAGGGACATCTGATGAATATATCGTGCAGGGATATCTCAATAACTGTTTCTATCTTTGTAACATTTGGTTTCAATCCCAAGCTCCCACTCCACCTCATCTTCCTCGTCCATGTCTTTACACCAGTGAGGCTGTGGTGTGTGTGGGTCTCCTCTTTCCATCAATCATGTTAAACAGCTGAAGAAATGGAGATTATAGGGTCACAATATGAGGTTCAGACATTTCCTATCTAGAGACCACACTAAGGCAACAGCTACTGATGAACTTTCTGCATCCGAAGAAACAAAGTCAGTCTAAGTTGAGTCCTTTATTTATCTATTCATTCGTTCAGTAAACATCTGTTAAGTGTCCGCCTGTCACATGCACACCATGAATGCACCCATCCCCACAGGGATGACAGGAAGACAGCCCACAGAGGCTGCCCACAAAGAGCTTACCATCTGATGGGGAGAGTTAGACACCAATATATGGAAAGATTTACTAGTCTTTTTAGAGAAAGATTAAAGTTAATCTTTAGTGAAGTTTATTCCCTACTGTAAACAAAAATGGATCAAAAATAGGTATGTTCCAATTAGGGACATCAGGCATATTCTTAAACTTCCAAACTAGTTCGTACTGTACTGTAGCAGAGATCAAATTCTTAAGCTTCTCTCATTAAAAAAAAAAAAAAAAATCAATGCTCTATTCTCTAAAATCTAAAACAAAGCAGTTTTAAAGTAGGCTTTGGGGGAGCAGATGGAAGATAGCAGCAAAACCTCCCAGCACCACCAAGGCTGGCAGAAGGCTGGCAGAAGGTTACCTGCATGAGCATGCACTGGGGCAGGACAGGGAGGAAGGAGGGCCAGGAGGCAGAAAGGCGAGCTATAAACCCTCAGCTTCTGGAGTGAACGCTGGATTGTCTGGATACCTGGGTTCCAGGACGACCACTCCACTCCCTGGTTTTGGGGTCTGGGGCCAAGCACATTCCTTTCTCATCTGAGAAACTGAAGAAGGGGCTGTCCTAGACAACCTCAAGAAGTCCTCCCAGCTCTGATTTTCTGCAGTCACTGATATTAAAGGAGCTGTAAATAGTTTACTGTTCAAAATATTGAATTTGATCTCACTACAGTACAGTACAGTGTGTTGGAAATTTTAAGAATATAAATAATACCTAGTAGAACACACCTAATTTTGATCCATATTTATTTACAACAAGGATGAAACTTAGCTAAAGGTTAACTTTGCTCTTTCTAAAAAAAGACTAAGAAACTTTTCCATATGTTGGCCTCAAACTCTCCCTATCAGATGGTAAGCTTAGTAAATGCTGCCGCTTGGCTGACTCAATGAACATTTCACATCCCTACCTCTTACCTCTAGTCACTGCCACTTCCCCCTCTGGCATATGGAGTTAAACATATCTAATAGTGTGTTGATAAATGTTTAACAACTGGCTTGGGGAAGGGGACTTGATTTGTAGCATTTGCTGGTTTCTTTAGTGTAGATACTCCCATGCTGGCAGAATTCAAGCTATTCCAAGTGATATCAACTAGATAGCAAATTTTCTGAAAATCTGACAATAGGTCCTCATGAGCTAACCCCTACACACTACCCTTTCCAGTGTCCACTGCAGCTGGGAATGGCCATGCACCACCCTGGATCTAGCCAGTGAGACGGAAGCACAAGCCTGGCAGTACATTCAGGCAAAGTGTAGCTTCTGCTTTTCCTGATAGAGGGGGAAAAAAGAGCCTGGCATGGCCTTTCAGCATTCCAAGCAGAATGCAAACAGCATGCCTAAAGCTGCGGCAATCATCTTGTGAGCCTGAAGGGGCTGGGCTAAAAAATGTTGGTGTACAGAGACAAAGACGTGTCTCTGATGGCACCACAGAGCAAGTGAATTAAGGCCCCACTCTTTCCACACCTGCAGACTTGTTAGCTGAGAATAATAAATTCCTCTTCAAGCTATAGAAACTCAAGTTTTCAGTTATTCACAGCAGAAGGCATTCCTATCTGAAATGACTGAAAACCATCAGGTTACAGTGACAATAGTCACACTTTCTGAGCAACTACTATACACCAAGCAGTCTTAATTTTTGTGTATTAACTCCACAACCCTATGAGACACACACTTTTATTATATCAGTTTTACAGAAAAAGATACCAAAGGGCACAGAAAGCAACTGCCCGAGGACACTCCAGTAAGAAGTAGCAGAGCCATGGTCTGCATCCACAGTCTGGGGCCACGCTGCCTGCCAGGGTAGCCCGGGGCAACTGTCCAAGGATGGCCACTGGAGAACAAGTGAGCAGTGGCTTAGAAAGCCTGGCTCCACTGCTCACGAGCTACGTGATCTTGACTGAGTACACTGCTTCTTTGGGGCCTGGGCTTCTTTAGCTGTTGCAATGATACAGGGGCAGCAATGATAGTTACCTTATAGATGAAAAGATTAAATGGGAAGAAAATACTACCCACTTCACAAGGAGTAAGTAGGAACAAGTAGAAAGAGCTCACTGTCCAGCATCTGACCAGTGAACGCTAATGCTGCCACATTAAATAAAAAATAGACCACAAGGAACATGGGAATAAACCCAGCGCTGAACAACGGATAGATATGGACACTACAGAAGCATAACCTACAATACTTTACTTTCTGCTGGCTGGAAATTCTCATCTCATTTTTCTACAATGAGCATGCGTTCCTTGTATGAACAGAACTCCCACCAGCTCATTTTCTACTTCTGAGTGTTCTCAGTAACACTGTGACAGTCAAGACTGTTCTATAACACAGCCATCTTTCTGGAACAGAACTAACTCTCTGAAAGCTGATGATCCCCAAGTCTTTGAAAGAACAGAGCACTAAGGTTGTTAATTACAGTAACCTAACTGGGGGGAATAAACAGGGATGAAAGGGAGAAATGGCACAAAATACTTCTGCAAGGACACAATTGTTTCAGCTAAATATACATAAACAGCCTTGAGAAATATTTTCTGGTACTACTAGAAACCTAATTCTAAGAATTATCCACTTAAAAAGTAGTTGGTTTTCAGCCTGCAAATTTCCATTTAAATGAATTTTGCTTAATACGCTTGTTTTCAAACATAGCTTTTCTTCATTTGCCCTTGGCGGAGCCTCTATTTCACCACACACAAAGTCAATTACCACCAACAGGATGTGGATACACACATGCCTGAGGAGAGGAATCAGCAAACATTCATAGGACTCTCGAAGCCAGGGGCTGCTGGAGGGCTGGGAAAGTGGACGCCGGTGTGCTGTGGGGATAACATTTCCAACTTTTCAGGTCTGCCTGACTGGATCACAGTGGGGATACCAGGAGCACGGAGTCAAGAGACCAGGAAGGCGGGGAAGATGGGAGGGCAGGGCCAGGAGGACAGCAAAGGGTTCACCAGGAGTCCGTAGATACTGTGGAGAAACTGCGGTCTCTCGGAGCACAGGCACGAGAAGGGTTTTCTCAGTGTACATGGTGTTCCCAAGAGAGTCATTTTCTTTTCTTTTTAAATCAGACCTTAAACTTTATTTTGTATTGGGGTATAGCTGATTAACAATGTTGTGGTAGTTTCACGTGAACAGTGAAGGGACTCAACTATACATATACACGTATCCATTCTCCCCCAAACCCCCCTCCCATCCATGTTGCCACATAACATGGAGGAGAGTTCCATACAGTAGGTCCTTGTTGGTTATCCATTCTAAATAAAGCAGTGTGTACATGTTGATCCCAAACTCCCTATCTCTTCCCCTCACTCTCCCTCCTCTGGCAACCATAAGTTTGTTTTCTAAGACTCTGAGTCTGATTTGTAAATGAGTTCATTTGTATCATTTCTTTTTAGATTTCACATATAAGGGATGTCATATGGTAAAAGAGCCCCTTTCTAAGAGAGCATTCCAGAACTGGGAGGATATGGTTGGAGTGGCAGGGGGTAACTGTAAGTTTTTATCAAGCAGCTATTTTTGTATATAACATATCCAGGGATAAATCTTTTTCCAAGGAGGGAACATTCTAGACAGGAAAAAAGGAATGTAACTAGCACTCACTTTTAGCAAAATAAGTACAGAGTAAAAAGAAAATGTGATGATACTATTGAAGGAAGAAAGTTTTTAACTTTCAAGTGGAAGGTTTTGGCTTTACGTAAACAAAACAGAACCAAAGTAACTAACGTACAGTAGTTGGCTATAAACTCTGTACACAGAAGCTCAGTACTACCAGGGAAAAAACACCAACTGGGGACCAGAAGACCCAGGTTCTAAATGCAACCCAACTGTGTGACTTTGGGTAATGATATCTAACTTCTCTGGGGCATAGCTCTTCATGGATAAAATGGGAGGAACACTTGGGTCATTTATACAATGGAATTTATTACAGCCACTAAAAAATGACAGGCACCTACACTAACCAAGAAAAAGCTCCAAAATAAGTTAAAAAAAACAAAACATAATGCTAAGCTGTAGCATCTATTATATAAAATGCTGCCACCTATGGAAAAGATAATAAGTTGACTGGATGGACATATATGTATAACTGTGCACATAAAGACATAAGAGGGAATTGAAGGACAGGATGTCAGAGGTTATGTTGGGTTTGGGGTGGAGGATAGCGGCTGAATTTTTACAAGTACGTTCAACCATCAGAATGCTGTGCAAGAAGGTGTTCATGTGTGATATGGCTTGATATTAAAATGAGTTGGTTCTTTAAACTTCTTTTTGAAAGAGCAGTGGAGCATTTTCCATACTTGAAATTCTATTTAAATTCCAGTATGTGAAACAAAACCAGCCCTT